ATTTTATCAAAATACATTAAGGTCGGGTGCCAACTTCACGGAGCTTAAACCATTTTCAGTGTACACTCGAAAACTCACAGTTACAGAATCCAGCCCCTGGTTGACGATTGGTAATGCAGAGGAAGAGAATTTGCCTTTCTTCAATTCGCCGTTGATTACAGGGAAAGTAGATTGGCGTGGGACTAGTGATGATCACCGAAGTTTAGTGAAATCGCTAGTTCTGAACCAGCTACGTTCAGTACAGGGGTTATTCTCACACACATTCAAATGTACATATACAGATCTATATAGTATGTATGGATGTACATTCATTCATATGTAGTATGTGTTCGTTCCCATACCTAATGGATTATGAAATGGAACGGATATGACACAGGGTTGAATTCCACTTGCTGTACTGCGTGGGCAATCTCGTTTTACTATCGGGTGTTTCTTTAGTTTCCATCATTCCATGCACATGTTTCTTTGACGATTTGTTTGTGGTGGTAGCTGGTGGTTTTTGTGAGCGCTGGTGTAAGCGTTGGAGGTAGTGGTGAGTTTGTTGGAAATTTTACTTTCGAAGCATTGTATTGAGTTCGATGAATTGAAATTTTAAAGAGCGGTTTTGTAGCAATGCGGCCGCGGTTTAGTGCAGTTGTGTTTTCGGTGTTGCGGTAAATTAAATATTGGCGGCGTTGTGGTCGTTGTTTAGCTTTTCGAAAATATTAACTAGAACGCAAATAAAGAAAGCGATTTTATTAAACAAGTATGCAATTTGAAAGTTATAATTTGCTTATATTTGAAATTGTGTCATGTATTTGTGTTGAAATATGCAGTGGAAGTGGCGTACATCAAAAGATCAATTTGATCAGCGTTGCCGTTTTGTAATTTTCTAGCGGAGTGAAATGAGCCAAAAAGTGGAGTGTTTTGGATTTTCCGTAGTGTCAAAGTAATAACGTTGGCCAAAGTATGAAGAACTCATTTGTGTTATAAAGATACACGATAGTGTAGAAAACTTGTTAATCCAACATAAAAACCACCAACAATATTGTTGCAGAATGTCAAAATTAAAAACGTAACTTTTCGAGCAAACTGTGATTTCATAAAATTCATTTATAATATATGTATAAATTAGACTGAGCAAAAAAACATATTTTTTCTAAGGAATAGTCAACTTTTAAAGCGCAATTTTAATTTTTTTTCCTGTTTAAAGATTTTTTCGTAAAATCTCCAAAAAAGTTAACGTAGTATTATCTGCGATGCCGATTTTTGTTTGTCAAACTTGTGGCTATAAATATTACTAATGATAAAATATTGCAAAAAAAATTCTAAGAAATAATCAGATTTTTTCGTAATATCTCAAAATGTAAGGGTCGGCTCGAAAAATGGTCTTGCCCAACGTATTCAGCGATCTTGAAAACATAATGTAAGACATTAGAAATTTCAATTTCGTGAGGAATTTCGTGTGCGCACGGATTTAAGGAAGAGTAATTTTAAGCACTTGAGGCGGAGGCACAAAACGTCTACGCGGGACCTCTAAATGTTAATATTTTTGGACCAAATTTTCAAGGGATAGTTTTTTAAGCCATAATGGAAGCTAAAACGTCAAGAGCGTCAAAAAAGAAGCACTTTCATTTTATTCTGGTCAGTCTAATACCTATATCAACGTCGGGAAAAGGCGGCTCTTTGAGCCAAATGCGGCGCTTTTCTTAGCAAAGTGCCACTCTTTTTACTTTCTCTTTGCTTAGAACATTTTGGCTCTTTTTACTTTTTAGAATACATATTTCTTTCGTGGACATTCTTTTCCATTGTGTGGTTTTTCATTTTATTATTTTTATAAACACATATGCAAATTGAGATCGGAACATTTGCAAAACTTGAATTTGTCTCTACAAGGAGAGAATAAAAATGTTTTTTATTTGTCGCAAATTACTTTAAGTTTTGAAGCTAAACTACGCCTGTTTATACATGATCTCAAAAAAAATAATAG